AAACGGAACGCTTCCCGGCGGACGATGTACAATCGCCGCGACCGTCTCCAACTGCTCGCGATCCTCCGCCACCAGTCGATTGACAGGAACGATCGCAGCCAGCTCCTCCGCCGAGCAACGCCGACTCTGGGATCCATGTTGCGAACCAGGGAATAGAATCCGCTCGGGCTTGGCCGGATTCGCCAGGGCCTGGTGCATCCTCCGAAGCGGCAGCCGATTCAGCGTAAAGCGGACATCGAATTTGGTTCCCTTGTAGGTGCTGAAACGGTCCCCGAAACGCAAACTGACGTCGTTTTGGTGGACTTGGTGCACCCGGCCTTCGTACCAGGGTCCGTCTTCGGAGCCTGTGTGCCTGCGAATGAGTTTCAGTGAGGACGGCGGAGAAAGCATGCGAATTAGTTACTTGACTCGGATGAAATCGCCGATGACGACGCTCGGACGGCCTTCCTCGAGGCCTTTGACCTGCAAACTGCGGAGGTTAAGTAGAAATCAAACGCGCTAAATTGCTTCGCTCACTCGTATCGAGGATAATTCGGCGTCAACTCGACATCCGTCATTGCGTACAGCTCCAAATTCATCCTAATCGCCATCAGGTTCGTCGAAACGACCAGCAAAAAAAAACTCACCTCATCTGGTAATCTTCGATATAAAGCAACACTTGGAAGAACTTTGCATATGTGTTGACGTCAAAAGCCGCCGGCAGGAACTTCTTCACGCCCCTCGCCACGTCCCTCCCATGAGGTGTCTCAAACGCGGCCTTGACGAGGCCTGCAGGCGGCTCGTAGTCCAGCAGCTTGGACGTCCAGGTGTTGGGTCCCCATGTGGGCGGACGCAGACCCCGAATAATAGGTCCCTTGAATTCCATCGGGGCCGGCCTTGGTTGTCTCGTGTACTCGGACTTTGGCTTGAGCAGCTCGTGGTCCTCCTTGGAGCCGACGACGGCTCGGACTTTGCGAGTGATGAGGAACCGCTCTCTGGTCTTGACATTGAGGAACACGAGCTCGAGCACGTCGCTGAACTCTCCGTCTATCGTTGGCGTGAAACGAATGCAGAGCGTCCGGGCGCGGATGTGGGTCACCCATCGACTCTTCCCAGCGAGGGTCGCTGAGAATCTGCCGGCAGATGAGCAAGGACAGTAGAGAATACGCGAAACACGAACTTGGAACCCACAGTCCTCATCGCCAAGGTCTCCAACACAACGGGGTCGGCACCCGCCTTGAGCACGGTAACATCGACCGAAAGGGCGTTGTCCAGCCCGACGATGCCAAAGTCCACACCTCCATCTTCAGGCTTGTGCGATACCGAAACCGAATGTTTGTCCGCCTCGGCTTCCAAATTCATTGCCTCTGCATCCGCGAAAAGCTTGCGGCGCATCCTGAGATGCATTTGCAGGTGTCGTTTCTGTTGAGAGTCGGGTAGAATTGCACCACAGCGGTCGCAAGGGACGGGCTCGGCCTCCGCTTCCACCGGTACTTCTTGAGGCTACCTTTTCTTCAGCAACCGACTCGACCGAAAAAGGACTTTGCCAACTCACCTCAGGCTGTGGCACAACCGTCTGGAACTGCTGTTCCCATAGCTCGCGCAGGTCGTTGCGGTGTCGCTGGCCCGCCAAATGCGCACGCATGTCCGCAGCGAGCAGCAACACGCGGCCACACGAACACCGTTGGATGTCATGGCGGAGCGAGCAGCGTTCGGGCCCAAGCCGGCAGCCCGCTGCAAGCGAGTCGTAGCAGTATGTAGGATGAGGTTGTGGGTCGTAGGTTGGCATGACGAGCAAATATTGAAAGAAAAACGGGAGGTCGAAGGAAGTGGCGGTAAGGAGCAAGGAACGTCCACAAGCCTTACGGCAATTTCTAATTTTGATCCGAAACACGGTCACGAAATCGCGTTTCGGTGGGTCTAATTCGGCTTTCCGAGGGTCTTCAGAAATACTTACTGCAGCAGCAGCAAAAACTCTCCGTCGCGTTCTTCAATGTCATCAAACCACTAAAGACAGGTGACCGTGAAAACGACACCAGAAAAACACACGTTCTCTAAAAACTAAATGGGCGCGCACTCCCGCTTCAGCCATTCCAACGCCCTCTCGTCGTGCTTCACCAATCCCCCAACCTTGGCCAGAACCTCCGCATGATAGGCATTGATCCAGCGCACCTCTTCCGCGGAAAACACCGACTGGTCGATCAACTTTGTCTGGATTGGGCACATTGTAACATGCTCGAATCCAAGGAATCCCTTGTTGCCGAAATTGTTGGGCGTGTCCGCTTTGCGCACAAGCACAATGTTTTCGATCCGAATTCCGAAGCGCCCGTCGGCGTAGTAGCCTGGCTCGTTAGAGACGGTCATTCCGGGCTTCAACGGGGTCGAGTTGTACGCTGCATTGATATTCAAGCATGGGTCATAACGAGTGCACGGTCACAACAGCTTACCGATCCGGACGCCCATCCCATGTGGACCTGGGTAAATTCATCGTCAACAGATTGCTAGCAGAGTTTGCAAACGCACCTTCGTGAACGTTGAGGTAGTGACCAACACCATGGCCAGTCCCATGACTGAAACTATTTCAAGAAACGAACCACGGAAATCGATCAACACACCGATAATCTATTGGATTCAGTCAATCGCAGGAGGTTGAAAAAAAGATATAGCTCACCCAAACCATCCTGCCACAAGAACTTCCGAGCGAATGGATCCCTGTAGGACATCTTCAATAGTCCTGATTTATCTGCACAATTCACTCACAGTAGGTAACCTACGCCTCGTCAATAGCAATCACCAGTAACAAACTTCAACACACCAGTCGTTCCAGTGGGGAAGATCGCTGTGTCGATCGCAATATGTCCCTGGAGAACACGAGTAAAGGCGCGTTTCTCCTCGTCGGTCGGCGTGCCGAAGTGCTATAAAGGTCAACAAAAAATCGATTTGATCGAAAGCTTGCTCACCCATGTCCTCGTCACGTCCGTAGTGCCGTCAAAGAATTGTGCTGGTGAGAGTGTTTAGGTTTTCAAACGGTTATGTATTTCTCTGAGGAGCTCACCGCCAGAATCGCATAAATAAATCTAGAAGGAGGATAAGTTAAATTCAGGAAATCGTCAAACCAACCTGATCTTTCTTAACGACAGCACAGTCATTCGCGTCCGGGCAGTAGTGGATGATCGCTGCCGCGAAAGTAAGAAAACAATAGCAAAGAACGCAGCGCACCTACCGCCATTCGGCCCTGTTGACGAGATCGTCGGGAACGACAACCCCATGAACAGATCCAGCTCGCTGCGATATTCCTCCAGTTTATCTGCCGCTTGACTCTCGTTCAGGACTACCCCGTTATTCAACTGCTCCTCCAGCCACGCAAAGTACTGTGCCAACGCCGCTCCATCGCGGATGTGGCTTTGGCGGAAACCCTCGAGCTCGGTGGAATTTTTAATCGATTTCAGCTCGGCGACGGGTGAGAGCGCGAGGGTGTATTTGCCCTAGCAGATAGACGTAAATTACTCTTGAAGGAGGGAGAGGAAGTGGAGGATACCTCGCCTACGGCCTCGGCCACAGCAAGACTAGATTTATCGCCTAGCAGCACCTTTTAACAAGTGTCAGCAGCGAGATATAAAAAGAAAACGTCATTGCGAGGACTCACAGACCCATCAACCGCCAAACTCTTCAATGCACCAAAGAACGACTCGTAGCTCTGCACCTCAACTTCATCCCCCAGCGCACTCCGCGTCTCCTCGTCTAGCTGTTCCGGATTGACAAACAGCGTGGCTTTGTCCATCGTGATCACGGCGTAGGCGAAGAACACCGGATTATACGCGATGTCTGCGCCGCGCAAGTTGAACAGCCAGGCGACCTCGTCGAGCATTGTCACTACCATTGCACTGGCTTTGGGACTGCGCTTGGAGAGCTCTTCGCGCAGGCGCTTTATCTTGGAGAGATGTGATTCGCCTGGAGGGAGGTTATGGAGAAGCGAAGGAAAGGGTAGACGTACCGGAGAACTTGACGTCGAGAAGGGCGATGCGGCTCGTAGGGCGTGCTGGGCGCGTCTCGGCCCAGACAGAATCGACGGGGTTGTTGCTCAAGGAGACGAGCTCAGAGCCTTTCGGTTTGAGCGCCTTGGTGAGGGCCTCGGCATCCGCTGTGGGACTGATCAGGAGCGAAACAAGCTATTAGCAACCAGCTTACTCGCAGAGATCAGGGTAGCATCGATTCCAATGCGAGAAGATGCTTCGAGCTTCTAAGGCAGTCTTAAGCTAGCTCCCAAAGTTCTTTGGAGCAAAATACCTTCGATAGAAATTCCTGCCAGGTTGGTACGTCTGAGGAAGCGAATCAGTACCAGTGAGGATAAAGTACGGACCCGATGTACCTGGTAATCCTTGTTTCATCAAGGTCCAGTTCCTGTATGAACGAGCTCAGCGGCAGCTGCAGGTCACGTCGACACGTACTCGTCCAACTGCTGCTCCGCCTGGAGAAAGTAGCGTCCATCCGTGAACAAAAACGCCTCTGTTTGCGTGATTATCGCGCATCCTGGAGTCCGATGAGACGATATATCCTCCCAGAAACCGCGTACATGCCAGCGGATCCATTAAACCCCGAGATGAATGCTCTCCGCTCATCGCACGTAGCGAGGTATTCGCTCGAATCTGAGCGCCATTAGTTCCAATCGATTGGACGAGGGCAATTCGACGCACGCTGGTCTTCACTGGGAACGACGAACGCGTGGACTTGTTCCTGGCCGAGGAACTTGCGGAGGCTTGCGAGGCGTTCTGAGGTGTGTACGGTCTGTGTGCCTGCGCCCATGGTGCTGATGCTGAATCTGTTGGTCAAGGGTCTGGTCAAGGACGAGCGTGCCAGATGCCGGATCCGGAAAGCCAGCATGGCGATCGGTCACATGAGGCCGCCGCGGCATCTCGTTGATTGGGTCGGGTTTGGGCCAAATAACGGCAAGAATTCTACGTGATTCCGCCCGATTTCGAGGCAGAATCGTCCGTTATCGCATCGTTTTGCCCCGCCGAGACGGACTAATGGCTTAGTGGTTGAGCGTATGATGTCAAGATGTCTCCGTATGTGCTGTGTTTTCATGTTCACAGCGCATGCGGAGACTTCGCTCTATCGTAAGGTCCCGGTTCGACCCCGGGTTAGTCCTCTTTTACTTATTGCGTGTGAGAACACTGTCTTCTGCTTTTTGCGGTCTTAATGACGTCGACATACCATGGTTCTTTCCATCCACCGCGTTGTTGGCCGCCTGGAACCTTTTTCCTTGTTCCCAAAGGGCCCTTGTAGTCGCCAACGAGGTGGGAACATCGGTCTCAAACGGGTGATTTCCCTCTCGACACCGGCGCAACCAATTAGCCAGCTATCTCGTTTGCACACGACCATGACCTCGCTTCCCACCTTTGAAGCTGCTGGATTCAAGCACACACAACCGCCGAATCCGTCCTGGTCGTTCGGAGAGTCGCCTGCCACAACAGAAGAAGGTCGCCAATGGGCAGAGGAGGAGAAGCTGGGCTGGAAGAGCATCGACACGACGAAAGCGGATCCAAGGTCAGCCGCGCCCTGTTTGTGTGTGTCCGCAAATCAACTCTCTGTGCAGGTCGATATATGCCTTGAGCGTTTCTGGCCTCGTACCGCGGCCGATCGCATTCGTCTCGTCCATCGCCGCCAATGGAAAGGAGAATCTCGCGCCATTCAGGTGAGATATGATTCCTGTTTCTCCCACGAAGTACTGACGATTTGTAGCTGGTTCAATCAGGTTTCCCATATTCCTCAGCGCCGTTTGTATTTGCTCAATGCGTCGATAGGTCTGCACAAACCCAGCAGTGATCTCCATATCCTGTACAGCTACTCCTCGGCACAAGGACACTTCGAACAATATCAAGGAAACCAAGGGCTTCACCGTCAACATCATCAGTGAGCCGTGGGTCGTGCAGGCGAATGCAGCCTCTATCGATGCGCCGCCGGAGATCAACGAGTGGACGGTGACTGGCTTGACCAAGGAACCCAGCGTAAATTGTGTTCTTCCTGTCAGTTTCCTCCCTCGTCTAAAACTGTTTAGACTTCCGTTGCCCCAGCGCGGGTGAAAGAATCTGCGTTCACAATGGAATGCGAGGTACGCTCTTTCCTGCTGGCTTGATCCTGAACTTAACCGACTCAGCTGCTGCAACACATCGAAGTCAAGGACGCTACGGGAAAAGTTGCAGCCAACCTCATTCTCGGCAGTGTCAAGTACATCCACGTCCGCAATGCCGTTCTAGACGACCGCTGGCTTGTCGATCCGGCTAAGCTCATGGCAGTGGGCAGAATGGGAGATATTCTGTATTCCAAGGTCGGCGATGGATTCCGCATTCCGCGTCCGGTGTGGACGGAGGAGAAGGACGAGTTGGAGAACAAGTTCGGGAATACGTTGTAGATGAGTGTACATCATTTCTTATCCCGCGCGGTCCGATTGAAAACTCACCTGTACCTACCGCGCCCCAGATTTAAACCACAACTGAGCTCAGTAAGTCATTGAGTCAACTGCGATCTATCCGATTCGCGTGTCCTGCTCGAATCCGGCTACCTGGAATTGATGTTTTGACGAGAAACCGAGACACAATAGTATTATGTCTGCCTTGAACTTGATCTTGTCGTTTTCTGGCGGCTTGTTCTTGGCACTCGACAGGTGGCTCCTCTGAGTCTGCATCAGCTTATCGTACCCTGTGCCCAATCCCAAAAGTCGAAGAGGTATGTAGCATCGTTTTACGGGGAGGTTCGAGATCTAACCGCTCTCCAAGCATTACGTATCTTCTAGTCTCGTTTTGTCTTCAGTTGCGTCCACAAGGCTTGCCGCTCTGCGCCACCGCGCGGAAGGTATATGCGATAGCATATCTCGACTAATAATATAGAGTCTACAAGCGGCAGGCCGTCCAACTGTCATGGAGGTGATAGCTTCCCTACCACCACTACTAGTCCTGTACAAGTATATGCCGTGCCCGTATAAAACCCCCCCAGGTCGTGTTACCCAGCAGACGAACACCCGTTTATCATGACCGCGCCTTCCCACTCGGACTCGAAGCCCACCATGCTTCCAGCTTTTGAAGCCGCTGGCTTCAAGTACACGCAATCACCGAATCCATCCTGGTCATTCGGAGAACCGACTACCGCCACAGAAGCGGGCCGCAACTGGGCGGAGGAGGAGAAGCTGGGTTGGAAGACTATCGAACCAGCCAAAGAGGATCCAATGTCACCTCCACATTCTCATGAACGTTTCAGCGGCTGAATCTCTTACTAGGGCGATGCTCGCATTTTTCATCTCTGCAATCACACCGCGGCCGATCGCATTCGTCTCATCCATCGCTGCCAACGGACAAGAGAACCTGGCGCCATTCAGGTGATATTTGATTATTCTGGCGTGTTATACGACTTGCTAACAATTGTGTAGCTGGTTCAACCAGGTCTTTTACCCTTTCATTAGCCTTGCATCGGCTCAATGCGTCTCGTTTTACTAGGTCTGCACGGACCCACCGGTGATCTCCATCTCATTCGCGACTGTTCCTCGGCACAAGGACACAGGCACGAACATTCGGGAGACTCGGGGTTTCACGGTCAATCTTGTTAGCGAGCCGTGGGCGGTGCAGGCGAATTGTTGTGCCATCGACGCGCCACCGGAGGTCAATGAGTGGACGTTGAGTGGATTGACGAAGGAACCGAGTGTTAGTTCAAGTTGTCTTGAAGGCGTCCTTTGTCGCTGAGATTTCCGTTAGATTTCCGTTGCTCCTGCGCGAGTCAAAGAATCTGCGGTTTCTATGGAGTGTGAGGTATGTGCCCTTCCAACTAATCAAATCTTCGAATTGACAAGCGTTTCAGCTCCTGCAGCACATCGAAGTCAAGCACCCTTCTGGAGAAGTGGCAGCAAACCATATTCTTGCGACGATCAAGTACATTCACATTCGCAATGCCGTTCTCACTGAACGCGGGACCGTTGATCCGGCCAAGCTGCGCGCCGTTGGTCGGATGGGAGATATTTCGTACGCCAAGGTCGGCAATGGGTTCCGCACCGCCAGACCCTTGTGGGCTGAGGTGAAGGAGGATTGTGAGGCGAAGTTCGGGGATGCCCTGTAGTGTATTTTCATTGCACTGGCGCGAAGCTGGGAAGGTACCTCTTGAACAGAAATTCAACTTTATGTCCCGTGTCAACCTGAGTGTTTTTCGTACGCACTAAAAACTTGAAGTTGAAGAAAGGTATCGGATTGTGATATTGCGAGCTCTAGGATAAATAAAAGGCGCCGAAACCTCTCTGAGGGCCTCATTATATGAGAACTTCATATTCGGTAGATTTCCTCGAGGACACGTGAGTCCCAATATCACGCGTAGAATGCATTTTGGGACGCGTCAATGAAGTCGTGTGATATTTATAGCACACCCTATTACCCATAGCATTGGCCTAAGACTCATACGACGAGGTTCTGTCAAATAATTTCCATTTTTGGCCAGTTGGCGTAGTGCGTGACGCGGAGTTACCGCGCGCGCCGGAAGGCGAGGAAATGTTTCAACGGTGCAACCAGAACGCCACATAAATTTAGCTGAGTAAGTTGGGGAATATGTTGTATCTGCCGCACCCAGAGTCAACTACGGTTTATCCGATTTCCCCGTGTTCTGCTCGAATCCGCCGACTAAGTATCCGGTTTCCCCGTGTTCTGCTCGAATCCGCCGACTAAGTAGCCGGATATGTGTTTTTGCCGCCCAGCAGCTGCTCCAGAGATGTTAATTCCATCAAGAGAACACGGCGGGGTTCAGGCACGCAACTTAAAGTACGCCGCCGACGGGCTTCTAAACTTGTATGATCCGTACCTCACAGAGGGCGCTTAAGAGAGTAGTAGAAAAGAAAATATAGGATAGAGTATTAAATATCCCGTCTGTCTTGAACTTGAAGTTGTTTTCTCTCTCTCTGGCGGCGGTGTGTTTGGCGCTCAACAGGTGGCTCCTCTCGCCTCCCAGGACGCAAACCGTTAAGCTTATCTACCTTGTAGGCTATCCCGGCGGTATGTAGTATCGTTTCACGGGGCAGTTGGAGATCTACCGCTTTCAAGTTCCGCGCGCGCGGCGTTTTCTTGTCTCGTTTTGTCCTCAATTGCCGCTCTGCGTAGGGTCTCCACATATGTAGTAGGCGCCGCTGCCTTATAAAGGCCCGCAGGTCGTGTTCACCAGCAGACGTTTACCATGACCGCGCCTTCCCACTCAGATCCGACCACGCTTCCAGCCTTTGAAGCCAGTGGATTCACGCACACACAAGCTCCAAATCCATCCTGGTCGTTTGGAGAACCGATTACTGCCACAGAAGCGGGCCGCAAGTGGGCGGAGGAGGAGAAGCTTGGTTGGAAGACCATCGAACCAGCCAAAGAGGATCGAAGGTTATCTCCAAATTTTCATGAACACCGTGGCAAAGGCTGAATCAATACTCTTAGAAAGATGCTCGCATTTTTCCACTCTGCAATCGCACCGCGACCGATCGCATTCGTCTCCTCCATCGCTGCGAATGGACAAGAGAACCTCGCGCCATTCAGGTGATATTTCATTATTCTGTCATGTTACAAGACTGACTGACGATGTGTAGCTGGTTCAACCAGGTCTTCCGCCCTCTCATTAACCTTGCATCAGCTCAACGCGTCTCCGTTTAGGTCTGCACGGACCCACCAGTGATCTCCATCTCGTGCGCGACTGCCCCTCGGCACAAGGACACAGGCACCAATATTCGGGAGACTCGGGGTTTCACGGTCAACATCATCAGCCAACCGTGGGTTGTGCAGGCGGATTGTTGTTCTATTGACGCGCCACCGGAGGTCAACGAGTGGGCGTTGAGTGGATTGACGAAGGAACCAAGTGTTTGTTCAAGTTGTCTCAAAGGCTTCCCTTCGTCGCTGATATTTCCTATAGATTTCGGTTGCCCCTGCGCGAGTTAAAGAATCTGCGGTTTCTATGGAGTGTGAGGTATGTACCATTTCTAGGAACCTTGAATCAAAGTTGACAACCGTCAGCTCCTGCAGCACATCGAAGTCAAGCACCCTTCTGGAGGAGTGGCAGCAAACCTTATTCTTGCCACGGTCAAGTACGTCCACATTCGCAATGCCGTTCTCACTGAACGCGGGACCGTTGATCCGGCCAAGCTGC